AGGCAGGCACATCCTGGCACCAGGCTGCCGGAGAGGAGTTGCTCCACAGGGCTAAGGGACATCAGGATTTTGGGGAGGACTCATAGCTCCTCTGTGTCCTCCCTGCTCTGGGCCAGCAGCTCCCCCCATCCCAGGGCTGATGGAACAGCTGCAACCCCCCAGGGCAGCAGGACAGACCCCTCCCCAGGACTGCCCAGCCCGGCTCACCCGTCCGCTTGCTGCAGAGACGGTCCTTGACGTTGTCGGCCTCGTGGGAAAGGAATTCAATGAGTTCATCTTCATACTCCTCGGCAATGCTCTCGCACTGCAATGGGAGCCGCCCGTAGGTCAGCTGGCGACCAGGGGGGCCAGAGCTGGGCCCCACTCCCACCCACCCGAGCCCAGGAGCAGCCTCCTCCCCTCCAGCCACAGGAAGGACCAGGGGAAGCAGCTGGGAGCTGCTGGTGGGACCAGCTCATCCCTAGAAGGGCTGCGGCTGCCCAACACAAAGGGTCCCACCACCCAACACCTCTGCTGAGCCCTGACAGACACCACAAAGACCTAGTCCCCGCACGCACCGCAAACTTCAGGCTAGAAGCCACATCTCCATCAATTTTGACCCCGGAGAGGTCCATCTTGGTCCCATCATGGGAGATCACCCGGACGTAACTCTTACGGTGTGTGGATGGATCCACTTTTTCCCCGTACTCTTTCATCTTCTCGCACACCCGTTCCAGCAGCTCTGTCAGATGTGCCTCCGACCGGGCGTAGGGCACCTGTGGCACGAGTGAGAGATCAGTGGGGTCAGGCCTTTGAGTGCGACAGCAGAATGGGAACGCTGGGCCAGCGCGTTTCCCCAGGAGCTGGGGAGCACCAAGAAAGGGTCAGACGTCTCCATGGATGCCCTGGGAATGCAGTGGGGCTGCACTGGTGATAGGCAGTGGCGGAGGCTGAGGAATGGGAGACAGGGCTCACTCAGCCCACGCAGAGCACCCAACGTGGGTCCAAACCCTCCCGTCTCCCCTGGTTTTTGACAGGCAGCTGCTGCCTCTGGTCAGGCCAGCCCCGCTCTGCTGC